GGAGCCATCTTATATTAGAATATTTGGTGACTTTTATAGTTACTGCAGCACTAAAATAGAGATTTTCCATCAACCCCTTACCATACCCATAAAGGGATCTAAAAAGGCAACACCATAAAGCCACATTTGTTTGCTGCCACATTGTAGAGAATAATAAAATCACTCGAATGGGAAGAAAAAGACATATGTATTGGTGGAAAAATGCTATCAAATTTTCGTCTTATCAGTGACGTCGTCATCTTTTCAATAACTACCAGCGAAATAGGTACGTGCTCAATGAACTCAACGAAGTGACAAAAGTGAATGAACCGCGTATAAATGAAACAAAGACCCAGTTCATAAAGTACCCATAGTGCGAAGGCGAAGAAATCGAACTGGATGAAGTCTTGACTGCGACGACCGTCTTATATATGTATCTTAGACGTTCAGTGAGCACTTCGAGCATTCGGGCCACTCAAAGAAGCTACAAAGCAACTAACGAACTCAGAGCTTCGCGATCACCTTTTTATTCAACAAACCTCATTGCGCTCTGTTTTGCAGCAGAGACATCTGATATCTCAAGCAAATCAAGATATTTGCGCACTACCCACACAACACTTAGACGATGTTTTCTGAAATTTAACAGGCACTTAAAATCTAGCCAGAATACGAAACTCTGATCTCCGGAAGCTTTCTAGGTCTCATCTATGAGACTCAGTGGAACACATGTAAGTAGCAAAGCAAAGATAGGTCGGCTATACAATAGGGAGAAGAGGTGACAGATGTACGAAAAGAACTGTGCAGTGGACACCAAGAAGATACAAGCGTCCCCTAGGACGACAGCCTTACAAGTTGAGTGGACATTTTTAAAAGTGAAAGCGATAAGCTGTGTCCTCAGTAGCAGATGTTTTACAGATCACGGTGTGACACTCTACCAACCAGTCATTTGATTACGTGTTCAGCTTTTTGAGCAAACGATTTTTCCTACCCTAATGTAGCCATCGAAAACATAATAACAACGTAAAGATTTCGGAAGACTGGGTGGCCTGCCTTGTTAAAGGCTGGGGATTGGATCAAACCCCACTTGTGTAACGTAAGGCACTCGAACTCCATAGTGCATAGAAAAAGCCATAGTGCATAGAAGCACTACATACGCCCTTCAGCCTTAACAATTATCCTACGAAGAATGTTATCTAATTTGAGATCTAGATGAGAAAATTAGAGTTTAAACAAAGATAGTTGTCCAATGTCAGAGAACAAACGATACCAGGCAGTTCTATAACAAACGGCTCGCATTCGCGTATGATTGCACTTTGTAGCGGATTAGACGGCTGATTTTCGTTAAGCTCCTCAAACTGTAGGTTGAACACCATGTTATAGTATGTCCTTATAGCAACCTAAAGATGACGACAATCCTTTTCGTAAACCTACTATTGTGACAAAATTCATGTAATGAAAAAAACTGTAAAAAAAAGAAATATTACTCAACAACATTCCACACATCTAAGTTTTTAGAAGACATCTATTTGCCAGGTAACTTAACATTTCCAATATTAATCCACATAGTAACCTAAATGGAACAGGCAAACTTTTCTTTTCCACTAAAACATAGTAATCGACGCTGACTTTTCCAAAATCGCACGGAATTCCTCGAAAAATTAAGTACTTGACAATCCGAAAGCTTTAAACTTATAATGAAAGAAACCTTGTTAAATCGCTCTTAGTGTGTAAACATTTTTTCTAAAATAATGTTACAACTCTAACTCCATTGGAAGCCAAAGCCTTTGGATGTTTTTGAACGAAATTCAAATTATTCGAAATGTTAGCGGAAACGTGGCAAACATAAACGTTATCAATACACTATGGGTAGTTAATCTTTTTCCATTGGCGGAAAACGTACTTGCTGCATCACTTCGTTATTAAAGATCGGAGACTCGAGGAAAAAAACAAGGATTTGTGGACTACACAAGATTAAAATTACATCTATGTAGAAACATGAAACACTGAACCTTATTTACAAAGACCTGTAGGACCCACCGATTTTTCGGTTAATTAACAAAGCCCATTTTGGGTCCAGAAGTGAATGTTTGAAGGTGGAAGTAGCAACTACCTTCAAGTACGTACGTATTGAAATCAAAGAACATCATCTTAACCAAAGTGTTAAGTTGCGAGCAGCAATAATCATAGTGTTAACTTCTTATTTTCTGCCTACCAAAATTTTTCACGGCAGGGTATCATGTGAAATACAACCACAATAACGCTGAGACATTTCCAAGACTGAACCACAGGTGTATGCAGTGGGGATCGAATACGCTACTACTCTTCTCGTGGACTAACTTGCTCACCACCACACTATGCGGATCGTTTGCTTTAGCTGTTGTGATTTCAACTGCAGCTTCGGCTTAACTGGGTTCATTGCCAATTTGTGCTCCTTAAATCAATCCTATCGACGGGTGATGGCATTAGAGCTGAGAGACAGGCGAAACGAAAGGCCAGTATGATGCGGTGGCGGTCTGGGGAAGCAATCATTTCAGACCATATGTACCTCAGAGTCACTTTCTACTAGTCATTGTGAGTTAATCAAGCAGAAACCTAATAATTTTCTCTGAACAAACTCTAAGGTGAAATTCAAGAAATCTACTGTATACAAACAAGTCAAACAACATAGTTAGGTATGAAAACAGAGTAAAACCAGGAGCCGTCTACATCGTCTCTCATCAATCACGATACCTAGCGATTAGTTAAACTTACATCAGCTCAGAAACGATAGGAATATATATTTTAATAGAATAAAGAACATCGCTAGTTACCTCATGCACTGGTAGCCATTCACCGCGTAAGAAAACCGATGCATAGCCTAAAACACTGAAGGAGATGTGGTGCAGTTTGCGAAAAGCACGAGATGCCAAGTACTCGAAGAATGTCACAAGCAGCTCGATCTGACATTCATCGTTAATCTTCTCTGGAGGGCTCTCCAGCATTGGCAAATCTTCCAGCTTAAAGATGAATTTTATTCTAGGCCACCCTCCAAATTATGTAAAATACCTTTTCTAAAAATGGTTTATTTCTATTCAAGCTTCCCGAAATTCGACTAGTTGCATACAAAATGAGGATGAGACAAAGGTGGTGACACTGAAGCCGAACACTGAACAGCCTGTTCCGTTCAGCCCATTCACAAATGATGAACATAACGCTATCGAGACCTGTAGAAAAAATTGTTAGGAAATTGGACGAAACTTTCTAGCCATAGTGCATAGAAGCACAAAAATGTAAAACGTTGTGAGTCAAAGAAAAGTTCATTAATTGCCCTAGAAGTACTTTACCGATCATAAGATTAACGTAGTCGATTGCTAAAGGATATCCAGTTCAATGAGAATGGATTTCTTTGTCGATTAATTCTTTACAACATAGTCAACAATTGACCATACTAATTCTTTCCTTCGAGATCTTCACTTCCTTTATTACAAAAGCAATAAATCCGTTGCGAAACCAATAAAGATATACCTGGATAATGTTTCGTGTAAAGGCGCAACTGATAACAAGCTTCATTATTTGTGAATTGAACAAATGTAGAATGTTTTTCCTTGTTTCTCCCACAGTAGTCAGATATGAGCTTTCTCAACATCTACAATCGACAATGTTTTTTTACACATCGGAACGGTCTATCCAGATAGATTAAATTAAGCTAAATATTTGCTAAAGAAATGCAGAACTGTGAACAAAAATGGCGAAACGTGTCTCACTTAGGAAAATAAATGAAGGAATATTCAGGAAAATAAGGAAAATCACCTTGTAAAGGGGATTTGGTGAAGGAATGAAGTGAACTTCGTTGAGCGCATTCTCTTTCCTGACCACAGATAAAATGTCGTAGGCGATCCATGCGAACGATAACATTCTCTCTCGGGTCTGCTGGGCTCTTTCTGAATTAACTTTTATGGAGCTACGAAAATTCAAGAAACGCGGAGTAATAATTATAAAAGAAACAGTTGAAAAAATAGATCTGCAGCACAAACATTAAAATTAATAAAAAATTACCTGTAACGAAAGACATCTTGATCGATAGAAACAATCTGTGTCGTTTTAAAAACATAAACGATAATGGAGAAACGACTTATTTATTGTTTGGCTAATTCGGTGGACCAACCTCCTTGGTTGTGTAGACTCCAGCATAATTTCTATTCTTTCGGACTTTTTCTGGTTTAGCCATTATGGTTTCCTGCAGCCCCGAAATTAGTTTACCCAAAGTCATCGCAAGCCTTCACCCACGACGGGCAGTCGCCGCCCTTGTGGATCAGAGGGAGATTTGCCAACATGGGACTAGTTCGATACCACGATGGCGGTGAATCCTAGCTGGTTCACCCTTAACTGGGATTCCCAACAAAACGGTGGACTTCTTCACAGCTTGGATGGCCCTGCTGAGGGAAGGGGTGAATCCCTCGCTGTACATTGCAGCCCGACACTCAGGTACACCTTCCAGCCATGATGAAGCGGTAAAGCGTTGGAAGAATGTAGAAACAAACACAGAAGGGATAAAACTTTTGGCGTTGAACAATTCCTGAGAGATGCACTATGCATTTGACTTCATTAAGCATCATTAAAGGTTGCGTATTTTGAAATGACGATGAATGCATCGAATACACATATGTGATTGAATGCATAAGGCCTATTCAGTGAATCGCAGTGGCCTACCGATGTATCAGGCCATTACTGCTATTCTTCCTGACAGGTTTCGCATTAATATAACGAACTCAGCGGGATGGAGGGTTTGGTGAGCCTAGAGCTCAGGATCGATCCCATATGTCTTGCAGGGAGCCTCTAACCACTGCCCTACACGTAGCCCTCTAAACAACACCATATTGCTTAAAGAAACAGAACGAGCAGCAGACGTTAACTCCAAGACTGTAATGATGACAAGAGGTATTATTGCAAAATACGTGTTCATTTTATAGCTGCGGTAACTGCCTCTTCATCACTATTCTACTGTGGCAACAATAAGTCAAGTGAAACACACAGCCACTCACCGTAGCATGTACGATAATAAGCCACTGCCTTCTGTTGCATTTTCAGCGTTGGTCTATGCGCAGCACGATGAAAAACGTTCTCTTCCACCGCAAACTTCCTGTCGATCTTCTGTGTACAAAAAACCCAACCACCAAACTCCTTAAAACGTTCAAAACGTTCACCCAACATGAAGGAATATATAGAAGAATAGAAAACAAGGATTAGAATAAACCTCGAAAAATTCCTCTCTGAATTCTCGGAAAAGAGAGGTCACTTTCCTTTCAATGACCTCAGTTGTATTGTAAAGCGACATATCGTCTTGATCGCGATCCGAGATTCGATTCCTCATCTCTGAGATGCAACCAGAGAAAATTTCTCCTTCCGTTTTTATGCCGTAATTCTCCATAAGAACCTAGAGTAATGCTCGATTAACAACAAACGGCCAGTCGGAAAATTACAATTGGCCTGATAACAAACCCTTAGTCGACCATTATATTTTGCCAACTCTGTCTCAGCCTTTTCTTTATATGTTGACCATCCGTCTATGATCAGACATTTATCACACTCAATTCCGTCTTGTTCATCGATATCTTCCGAAATCTTGAGAACATCCTCAATTGCCTTAAATTCCCTGAATATTGGCCAAGTATCAGTCATAAAAAGCAACGCACTAACAGTAACAAACATCAACATTAGCTTGTTAGCGCATCAGTTACTTTACGATCGTGGTAAGCATAGTAGCAGCGGAATATTTCACATAAAAAACATGTTCAGTGTAGACCGATTTTTCAGACAACTCCTGCATTATTATAAAAGCAGCGCTTTGTTGGACGTTATCGATAAAATCTGAGAAAAAATACACCAAAATTAAAAGAGTTAAAGCTGACGCTCCATAGTAGAGTGAAATATCCACAAATTTTACGTTTCTTTGTTGTCTTAAAACTAATTGCACAAAGAACAGCCAATTTTCAAACTGCTAAAACAGAAAGCTTGAACATCGATATTCGACGGAAGTTTCATCCCTAATAGAATAATAAAAACGACCTATAAATCCTCCCCATAAGCCTCGGACTACGGTAGGTAGCATCGTAATCATTCCCAAAATGAAAATCTGGTTGGCGCTCGCTCTTTTCCGGAGGAATCTCTTTACCACTGGCCTTATCTGCATAAAAATAACTAAATATGAAGTTAATTCTAGAAAAAAAACGAATCCATATTGAGAAACCCATTAATTGGAACATACCAATCGTCCATTCTTTCACAAGCGGATCAGGTGGTAATCCTGTCTTTGTGAAATCCACTGCTTTAGATATCTTCACTGCGAGACGCTGGCACACCTGATAAAGATTAAGATCAACCACAAAAAGCGTAAAATGGCTAGAAGAACACGCATTTGGACAGAAACTATGATAAGTATTTCAATACAAGCGATTCTAGAGTATCGTGCTTGCGATTCAAATTCTAATAATGTATTGAGCGGAAATGTGCAGAAGATAGTGGATAATGGAATGAAAAAGAGCCCGAAAGACAAAATAATATATGGCCGTGCTGAATGAAAACTCATTTGAAACTGCCTTCCGTACTAAATGAAGTAACGAACTTTCTGCTTCGAACTCACCCGATCAATAATAGTTCTCTATTTCGAGCTGGAAATAAAACTTTAAACCAACCTTAAATATTTTAATAAAAACGGATTCTCAAAATGAACCTATCTAACGAGGACGACAACCTTTAAAATATCGTCCAATATTTTATTCCTTTCTAAACACTTATGAAACATTTGCTCTACAAAGTTCTAAAGCTGATTATCTTAAAGCACGTATTAGAAAGGCTTTGAATTGTACTCAACGACTAAAACAATCAGAATTTCGACCAAAATTCCTGTTATGAACTATAATCAAATTATAAAGTCAATAAGACCTGACATGAATATCACGAGTAATAATTTCCTTCCTTTTTACTTTTATACAACCCTTCTTTCAAATCCACTGTACTTGGGTAATACCACGGCAGTAAAATAGGTACTAACTCACTCCCATTCATAAACTAAGGAATGGATTCGACCTATGAAAGAACTTCAGCCGACTGTTATCACAACTGCATTTAGCATGACAAAGATCACACTGCCTTGTTGCTACTGCTGAAGCAAATGCTCACCAGGGCAACATCATCTTTTCAGGCTGTTCACCGCCGCATGGCAACAAATAATAAGGCTCTTCAACTGGGAAGGGAAAAAATACATAATGACGGATAATTTCTACTAAACCACCGCACCACCGCATTGTCGATGACACTGGCATTTTCTCGAAAAGTAGCAATGTCAAAAAAACATTCGACTTGTAAAAAAAATAGAATTTAAAAAATCCGCGATGCGATGAGAAACTGCTAGGTAGGATGGATGCAAGATAAAACACAAATTCTTTGATGTAACGAAGACGGAATACGCGTTGAAGGGATAGAGAAAACAGCATTCTGGATAACTATCCATCTGTATATCGAAGTTTCTGGAAGATGTCCAACAACTGCCACAGCGAAATTACTATATTAACCTGCTGAATTCAACACTTCTTTGAAGGATCTGCTAAACGGTTAAGACAGAGACACAATCCTTGCGACAACCAGTGATACTCGCTATCCACGAAAAATTTTCATCTCATATACTACGTAATAAAATTGCACTGTACAGAACTGATATAAAAAAGCCTACCTCAGAGTTGATTCCATAATGATCTGCTTGGAAAAGGAACGAGTTTGAAATCGTACCAACTGAGTCTTGTGTGATGTACTTTATATAAAAATCAATCATATCGTCGTTCTAAAAAATCAAAGCAGGTTTATACTAGAGGCAAGGATTAGAATGTATTTATGGATAAATACCAATGTTTCCTCATTAATAGATTCAGATTGCGGCTTCTCCGCTGTATAGTCAAATGGCTTCTCATTGTGATCCAATAGGAGGTCCTCATCCCAGATTACGGCGTATTCATCTCCATCCAAATCAGAACCTGAGTATAAAGGACATTAGAGAATTTATAAGACGATTTTACAGAGATCATTACGCGGAACAGGCAAAACAAACGGGAGTAGTACATTATGTGCTGGGATACCTCAAAAGTAAACTTTTATGGCAATTTAGCACTACCCTTCAATTAATGGGCAACAGTGGCAGTATATAATGAATAGGTCACTACAAACACCACTACAGACAATTCAAAACCGATATTTGATATGAAGAGAAAAGTATGATTACAACATCCAACACACCTGCCATTTCGTCGGGATGAGGTCTCGGACCGTGCATTGGGAAGACGACGACATCACACAGGTGGCGTAGTTCAGGGATATCCACAGCAGTAAAAACGCGAACATCGCCAGCAACTATGCATGGATTTTTTGTCAAAAGCACTTTGCCTGAAAAGTACTTTGTATTTATTTCACGTAGTATAAAATAGTACAAACTATCCAAAAGCAATTAGTCAATACCGGTGAGCACTTTTCTTGATGCACTGGGTGGTGGGGTCTTCAGGGCAATATTCTCCGTATATTGGACGAAAACTTGTCCATACTGCAATTGACCTGTTTCGTCTACGACTCCAAACATCGTGCGTCCTTTCTCAGGAGGTATTTGAATTTGCTGTTTACGCATCTGTTTGGCTAAAAAGAAGAATTGCAAACTCCACTACATAAATGTAGAGAAAAGAAAAAAAGCAAGATAAACGATGCGTAAATGATGCATACTGATTGTAAACTTGACAGTCGCTTTAATAAGAGATCGGAAGAAGGGCTCCGTGCTGAGCTGGAACCCTGCTACCATAGACAGCATGTTTATATCAATGCGTCGAGGAAGCTCCTAAAGAACTTATCACATCAATAATGGTACAATTTATATAACAAAGAGCCGCACCTTGAGCTTATTTCGACAGTCGTGCTCATGCAATATGGTTCTTGCCAGTCCTCTTAGTTGATTATCGACCAATTCTTCAATGCGATTCGTTACTCGGAAATGACACTCGTAAGATTGCATTTCGGACACCTAAGAAAAGGCAGAGCCGTTCGAAAAGTGATGGTGTAGTTAGTAATGTTAAAAGAATAAACACAGATAAAAAGCGGAGTTACACCTCCCAACTGAATACAGATCCGCTCTTAGATCACGCGAGATGATGCATTCTTAGAGGCGTTTTTACCAACTTGCTGGAAAAGTGAGTGCCGCCTTCGATTTTAAACTATTATAACAAGGCTCAAGCAGTTTAGCAGTAATGACTATTAAAACGATTAGAATTCACAAGCTTTTACTGACAGGATGCAGGCTCAGTTAATCGAACAAATATCCAGCGATCTCGAAGCAACGAATTCTTCGAATGCACTTTCAGAAGCTCATGGTGTTGAAGGATAGACCTTGGAAGTAGTTGTTGAGATGTGTGAAAAAGTGGCAGTCAGTTGGTGAGTTGATGTAAGTAAGACGAACAAAGAAAAGGATTCCCATGTAATCCGCCGTAGTGGACTCGATAACACTGATAGCTTCTCGACAACTAGAGGACTTCAGGAGTTGATAACTTTACAAACTTACGAAGGAGACTGATATTTTATTACGACAGAGGCATATTACGCTTCTACTTGAACTCTGTACGGTTGGTCTTCGGCGGATTTCGGATTTCCGAACTTCATCAAACGAAGACGACTACACGACGTATGCGGACTACCAGAGGACAGTCACCGAGTATTGGACAACGAATTGCGAATACTACGCACCTGTCTACGAAGCCGACAAAACCAGATGTTCGCCAAGTGGAAGAAGTGCGAGACGAAGGAAAACTTTTGTGCTCAATATTTGGAGGACCGCCTCTGGAGGAGAATAGTGGGCAGGCTCTGAGGAAGGCGAAATCCGCCGAAACATCAGCTTATTCGTGAATAAAGGAAAATCCTTTACAAAGTCCTGCAGCCTTTAATTCGAGAGCGCTCGCTACCGATATGCAGCAAAGTTTTGTAAGCGCCTTTAATTCGGGAGCGAAGACGGTAGCGAGCGTGAAGTTATGAGACGTATGTGGGGTATCCTCAATAAAGGAAAGGATAGATTGACCAACAATTGCTATATACGTCTTCCCTTCGCCGAGAACAGAGTGAAGAAGAGGACCTACTTTGCTGGTACTCGTTGAAAAAACAAAAAGAAAGTAATCACCACGGCCGACTTTCTGTTACCCTCGGCATTCATCAAACAATTCTCCACGAAAGAACGGTCACGAAGACAAAAGATCGTCATAGCTAGACAGACAGTACACTTTCTCCGCCGCTGCCTATCACACCAACTCGTGCCGAAGTTAATAAGATGAAAACGATTTCACGAGATATGCGGTTAACCACAGGACAGCCAATATGTACGAGGCATCAAAATGGAACTACTTCGAGCTGCACTACGAAATAGGCAAAACGATATGTTCGCTAGAATGAAAAAGTGGGTGACGAAGGATCACTTTTGTTTTGTATTCGGAGGAACGAAATGGTAAAATGGTAGCCCACACAATGAGAAATAACCAACCTGATCAAGGATGCAGATAAATGGTTTGTTCAGAGAAACTGGAACTGGAGAGGAGTATTTCACAACTTCAAGCGAATCTGTTGATGTGCGCATGGCATGAAATCTCAAAGAGCATATCTCATAGGGAGAAAAAATGTCAGTTAAACAAAGTGAGTCTATGAAAAAAGAAATCCTAATCAAAAAACGGAATAAATTATGAACAGTAAGTTTCAATTTGCTGTTCGTCACTTCCTTCGCTTCCACACAGCAACAAGGCGTATTCTCAAAAAAAAAAAAAGAAAAAAAACGAGAAAAAATTGTACACGTCCACACGAAGCCATTCGCCTTTGGTTTGAGTGCTCATGAAAATCACACCCACTCCTCTACCGTCCCTATTGCATTTTCACCTTGTAGTTCCCCGCCTTACGTACTTTCTTTTTCACAATATTCTGCGTTCTACATATTTTCTTCACGGATTTCCCACATAGATAGTCTCACCCTCATTAATCGCGAGGCAACGTGATGCGTCCCCAGGTGGTGGAAAAGGGGTTAATCGCGAAATTAAAGCCACTTCTGCTTCTATGAGACTTCCGCCATCTGCTCTGTGAGAGACTGCAGAGCTACCTGAGAGTATACGCAGCGCCCACGCTCAGAGCTCAGCAAACTATACGTGGGTACCAAAAAGCTAAACAGAGTAAAATAAACATAAATCATTCCGTCGACCCCGAACGAGCCCCGATTCGGAAGCGTTTAGTAGGACGAGTACGGAGAAGCCGTTGAAACCTTAGAGCCATTCGAGACTACCTAAATCGAAATGGCCCAAGGTGGCGATCTGCACATAGAATGCACGCAGACTTGCATCTGAGTCCTTGATAGAAGATTTGATCACGCAGGCAAGCAGGATAAAGCACGACGTCATCGGCATGGCCGAGACAAGAAGATGCCACCGCCTATGACGCCGGAGAAGAGCTGTTCCTCGGAACATGCTACAGTAGAGGAGTCGGGTTTATCCATAAACATCGGTTCATTCGAACAGCTTGCAACCCGAATCGTACGCTTACGATTGAAGACAACTGGATCAATACCGGCCTTGAAAACTGTCGTCGTTTACGCGCTGACATCAAACCATGACGAAGAAGAAATCGAAGCATTCAATTTAGACTGGGAGAAGTTCTAAAGAAAAGACCGTATATTCTTCAAAGTTATCATTGGAGATTTTAATGCAAATATTGGACCCAGGAACGTTTGAGGAACGACACATTGGGATACATGGATTACAATGGAACGAGAACGGCTAATCGCTGTTTCAATTTATCAAGATGATTGCACTCCGACTCCCAAAGGGAATACTTGTAGTTTCTAGAAAGGTAATAGACAAAATCGACCACGATCACTACTCGGATCGCTTCAGTAGTCACGTCGTCCTGCCGTCATAAGGATACGGATTTGTCGTCCCACCGATTCTCCGTACCGAAGTTCGACATCCCATTTCGTCAGTTAGAATCGAACAACACCAGGTCCGGACAGTAAACTCTGAAAATCTGAAGAACCTTCCACAATGGAAGATTGGCAAGAATGTGGTGTTTTTGCCAGAGAAGGTGACGCCACGTTATCGACAACGGCCGACCAATCTGCTTACTGTCTGTCATCTACATAATCTTCACTTAAGTCATTCTAAACAGGAGTGACAGGACACTGGACGAAGGCCAACCATGTGGACAAGCAGAGTTTCAAAAGGATTCAGTACAACGGACCATATCCACGCACTAAGATGATTCGTTGGAGTATCGCGAGAGTATAAAAGACCGCACTGTCTCACAATCATTGATTTAAAGGAAACCTTTGACCCAGCAGAAATAGAAGCAGTCATGGAAGCCCTGGACAGTCAGGGCATCCCTACTCAGTATATAAAGGTTCTTCGTGAAGTACATAAAATTTTCCCAACAAAAATATCGTCATTCCATAACGATATTAACATCGACACGCAGAACGCATGCTAGCCAACTTTAATAATGGTTGTGGAAACAACACTGGTCTTCGACTGAATCTAACAAAAACGATGTTCATGCGGACTAGTTTCGTATGTTTCATTTATATTCTGAATCTGAACGGATATCTCCAAATGTTTCAACCACGTCTACCTAGGTCGGGAACTCAACGTGATGAACAACAGGTCCACAGTTAAGCCGGAGCAAGTGAGTAGCTTAGAGAGCTTCCAAGAGCGTCGAGGGTGTAGGTGAAGAGAACAAAGAATAGCGATTCTGTGCCCATCTTTCGACTGTAGGAGTCTTCTCGCCATAACATATGCATCCGAAACTTGGTCGATGCGCAAGCAGGATGAACGATCACGCGCCGTCGAAAATGCTAGGAATATTACGCAAATGAGGGAAAGGTTTCGAAGTTCCGATCTGCCTCAATGATCAAAAATCAAAGACGATGTCCTAACTGGCGATGATAAGTGGGTCATACACGTAATGAGTATAAACGATAAACGATGGACAAGAGTCGTTAGTAACTGGATTCCTCAAGATGTCAAACGTACTGCAGGAAGACCACCGACCCAATGGTTAGAGTTCTTCGTGAAAGCGCTACGCTAGTAGAAAGATATGATCTCCAACGAGTCCCCAGAGCCAAAGCCATCTCGAGTCATTCTATGATCAATGGTACGACTGCTGATACAGAAAGTCTATTCTTTTATTGTCGATTTCTTTTGAAACGTTTTCGTTTCTTATTTATTTAAGAAAACAAATAATTCGGTATAGCGACTCGAAAAAGTTCGATAACATATTCCAGAAGAACATAAACTAACGATAATATACCCTCGCGTTTTGTGAATACGAATTCACTTAACCCTCTTATCATGCATAATTTTGCTGATAGTGATTACCCATCTCACCGAACACTGACGTACGAGAATAAGCACAGCAGAGATATTTGGATGGTATGTAGATATATGCTATGGCCTTAATCGGAACAAATAGACGTTTCTAACGACAAGCTAATGAAGATTAGGTAGAGCAAATGGCTTTTGTCGCGAGATCGTCGACAGCAGCATCAGTCGAAGGGGATCCCAATTCACATACAACCACAATTACCAATTAACAAATAAAAATAGATCATAAAGATTATGAGCTATAAAGCAAATCGAGTATGTCATCTCTGTAGAGTTATGCTCACTCATATATAACTTGCAAATGACTTGAGAATAGTTCCCAGAATCGACTTTCTCTTAACCGGCGGCATTGGAATATGAATGTGTCGTTTTCTTGTTCAGCAATCGCGAGGTTTTTAAACAGCATACATTTACTTCCATAAAAAACACAATGTTGGAATATGAATGTGTCGTTTTCTTGTTCAGCAATCGCGAGGTTTTTAAACAGCATACATTTACTTCCATAGAAAAACACAATAGGATACAACACTAGCTGACGTTTCGGCAGTATCGCCTTATTCAGAGCCTGGAAGGGTATACTGATATACAATCTACCAGGCCAAACGCCTCGATAANAGTATGTCATCTCTGTAGAGTTATGCTCACTCATATATAACTTGCAAATGACTTGAGAATAGTTCCCAGAATCGACTTTCTCTTAACCTCGGCATTGGAATATGAATGTGTCGTTTTCTTGTTCAGCAATCGCGAGGTTTTTAAACAGCATACATTTACTTCCATAAAAAAACACAATACAATACAACATTAGCTGACGTTTCGACAATATCGCCTTCTTCAGAGCCTGGAAAGGTATACTGATATACAATCTACTAGGCCAAACGCTTCAATAACACAAAAGACGAAGAACTCTCCGGTAATCACATGATCAACAACTTCTCGAAAAAACCCACCGCTTTTTCGTGACTTCCAATGAGGAAGTTTAGAACAGCTGATTATAGTCGCATGTGGTTGACGACTGCACCATCCCACATCAAAAATCGAAGCGAACATACCGGATCAGGTCGGGTATGACCTCCGGACATTCATCCCTGCTATTCATTGTAGGGTTTTTGGCATTTATCCAAAAAGTCTCTAGGAGTTTTCGCGCTGGTGTTTTGGACTCCTGTGCAAGGATATTGACTTTTACTTCAAAATCGTCCCCGCTATGCTTTTGTATCCTATGCGTGCCTAGTGGGGTGCTTCGTCTTAGTTTTCGTTTGCCATCTAGGTGTTCTTTTATACGGATACACAAAGGTCTGCCCGTTTCGCCAATATATTCATCTCCGCAATTATTACAAGAGATCAGGTATATCGTACCTGAACTCATGCAATCACCGTAAGGCCAAATTACGCAATTTGTTGTTTCACACAGACGGTCATACAGGCCGTTGCGAACTAACTGACGATGTAGAGTAGCCGGTGGTATTTCAACTATCGCTACCGATTCCTCTAGACTTGCCCTTCTTAAGCATCGTTTTATAGCTACGCTTACTTCATCGCTTATAAAAGGCAACATAAACGGGATTTTCTTTTGGCCAAGTGTTTCGCGTGGGCGCGTCGTTCTCCTTGTAAACTTATCTCGTGGGATTACTATTTCGTAGCCATTGGAGATGGTTATTTGCCGAGCCATGTCGCGCGATTCTTGCTTTAGTTCTCTGGTAGTGCACATAGAGGTGGCTGTTCGAAACATGTTTCTCACAATCGCCCTTTGTGTGTGAAGGGTGGGAAGAAAGGAAATGAACAAAAATTTTCTTGTTACTTGGCTTTCGATACCACTTTGCCAGGTAACCGCTACTTGATAGGTTTATTTGAACGTTCAAAAACGGAAGCCAGTTTTCTCTCGGTTTCTCCCGGGTGAAGTTTATGTACTCGGACTGCTCGTTCAATAATCGCAATCAATGCCAAAAACTTTACAATGAATAGCAGGGATGAATGCCCGGAGGTCATACGCGACCTGGTCCCGTATGTTCGCATCGATTTTTGATGTGGGATAGTGCAGTCGTCAACCACATGCGACTATAATCAGCTGTTCTAAACTTCCTCATTGGAAGTGGCGAAAAAGCGGTGAATTTTTTTCGAGAAACTGTTGATCATGTAATTACCAAAGAGTTTTTCGTCTTTTTGTAAGTGTTATTGAAGCGTTTGGCCTAGTAGATTGTATATCAGTATACCCTTCCAGGCTCTGAAGAAGGCGATACTGCCGAAACGTCAGCTAGCGTTGTATTGTATTGTGACTTGAGAATGTTCAAAGGATTTTCTAAGGCACTGAACTTCCACCTTCTAAACCTAACTGGTTAGTGATAAATTAACATACAAAGTCTTACTTGATTTGACTAGGTCGGAACATCAGCTTAACATCCCAGCTGCCAAATTTCACTTCTGGTGGTGGTATGTTGAATTTCTTTGCCCAAAAAGAAATCTCGTCCAAGATTGGATCAACTACCACTACACCTTTCATTCCACGAAAACGGAACTGTGAATAAAAAACGTTTAAAATTACATCGAAAATATGCAAAAATATGCATATAAAAACGTACGAACATAAATGATATATTTACGTGAATGACCCACCTGGAAACAACTTGGCACACAGTTACCCAGCTGCATGTCTTTTGCTATTTCAGTAGCCAAATCCTTACTTATTATACCTGCACCATCGCTGAAGGTATACTCTTTCCTGTAAATGATCTGCCAGAAATTTAGGACGTTTATGAACTTTAGAAACAGCAATTTTCCCTAGTTTGTTACAAGCTGCAAGCTTCATCGTGAAGACAAGAATTTAAATATTACTTGGACACTTGCACACTTGGATGGACCGTCTTCGATAGTTGTGTGCGCCCCAGCACAATATCCACTTTTTCGGAGTTTTGCTGGCCTAGTCATTGTGGTTCCCTGGAGTCCCGATGTAGGCTGGCCAAAGTCTGCCTCATGTATTCACCACCATAGGCAGTCGGTGCCCTTGTGGATCAGAGTGAGATTCGCTACTACGCGATTAGTTTGGTACCAGGACGGTGGTGGATCCTTATTTGTTTACTCTTAGGTGGGATTCCTAATAGAAACCCCGGACTACTTTTCAGCTTGGGAGACCCTCCAGGAGGATGAATTCCCCGCTCTATACCGTAGCCCGACACCCAGAAATACCTCCCAGCCACGATGAGGCTGTAAACCGTTGGGAGAACCTAAATATTAAGTAGGTAGAAATCAGTATTCCGCCAAAAAAAAGTTACTAGAAACACCGACCCTTGATTGTCACTTCCTCCAATGAAATCGTATCCTGTGAAATAGTTTTCTCTTTGGAGAAGAGCGTTCACTTTCTGTAAGCCTCAGATAATTCAGAAAAAGGTCATGCGACATTTACTCTTCTGCAGTTTAGCAAAATATTTAAGACAAGACGATGACCGTTATGAGGTATACTAAAAAGTGAGACTAAATTTGTTTCAGCAACAATAAATACCATCTACACTCACCCTAGTCTGAGTAAAACACTGGCCAAGGCGTGCCATTAATTTCGGGATACTTTCGATTTGTGTGAACCTTGAATATTATTCCTCAGATATTGAAAAAGGACTTAACGAAGGACCTGTACACCTACGCCTGCTTAGAGGTGGAAGCAGACAATTGGATATGAGGTTTTACTGCATATTGAATTTATTATACAGACGAATAGTAACACAAGTATGACAGTAATACTTCGGTTTGACAATAGATCTACCACTGACCTTCCAAGAAATTGACGCGCCTCAACAATCTTGGGTTGCCATGTACTAGGTGGATCCTCATGGTTCATTTCCCGGTACTCCATAAGCATCATATTCGAATACTTTTCTAAGAAATATGCACCCGAATCACGCATTTGTGAATTTGAACTTCCCAAATAGCCAAAATTGCGACCTAGACAATAACTGTAATGGAGGACTTAAGCAAAGTACGTCAACTATCTTCAAGAGAAAAAAACGAGGACCAACCAGCTACTCTAACACCATCACCTAAATACTTTTTTAGCGTCTTCTCAATCAACTTTGTCGAGGTTTTGTTTGAACGCATAATTAGATTATCGTCATCCCTAAATCAGTTAAGTTTCTGGACGCATTTTTTAATATAATCAAGTCTATTCGTTGTAAACAGTTCGGCAACGTCATGATATTCACCACAGCTCAAACTGAACGGCTTAAAAAAACCTATATATCATCTTAGTATAGCTTACCTAAAAGTAACACGGATCATTCGTGTTCCATCATGGTCATACTTTCGCAAAGCTCTATTGGCCATAATTGTTTCAGGCACTACATAAATGATTCTTGATGGAGTTATGACCAACTGAAAAGATAAAAAGTACACGAGGTTTAAGAACAAACTAATGAAACTAGAATATCGAGTGGGTGGATAACGGCCAAAAAATGCCGTGAAACTTGAAATCTCCTGCGACATCGTTTTGATATATGATAACCGTTGAAACATACATGACATAGTAATTAAATGAGCGGAGCGTCTTGGAGCAGAGGGATTTGCTTAAATCCTCTTTCATTAGAATACAGGCAAACACCATTTGAAGCATAGGACCAATCTGATGACAGCACTCCGAAAGTTATTAACCATAAATCAAACATATTTGGATTTTGCAGCTAAGTTTTTTTTGCCCCTTTTTGTCTGCCAGTACGTCGCCTTCTGTGTTGATCAGTGTACCTCTTCCATCACACATTCTTTTGACTCCATCACTTACTCTGCAAGCTATGATATAGCATAAGTTATTATATTCATCTAAGATAGTAAAAAAGTATTACTACGCCACAAAATGACTGTTGTGCATATGGCTTTTGCTTGATAAATAAATAAGAGTTAAGAATCGAAGTGGGAATGATGGAAATTGCTATGGATATTCTTCACTGTCTCAGTATAACATGAAGTAATCAGAGAAAAGTGCTCGATTTTCTCGTCTTTAGTATAACTTAACAATTTCGCGAGGAGTGACCTCTACGGATGTCATAATGAAGTTGCGGGAGTGGCCGGTAAGACGTCTATAGGTTCCATTTCTTTCTGGTAGTTGTTTCAACATATAGAACCGTTTCCACATACTTAATCTGATCAATCGATAGTACATCAACAATGATGCCATGGCGGGCGTTGACTATGGGAGGATGTCCTCTTAACAAAACCTGATTTTAATGGCCACAGATTGTTGTTGCAGAAAAAAATCTGTGGCATAGAAAAAGTGGCCAGCGAAGAGGCGGAAAAAGGCCAGTGAAGATTCGTTGTTTTCTAATTTTTAATTGCAATAAATACTCTTAAGTTTTGTATAGAATGAGACAATATTAAAGCCACAAGGTAAACCTCATAATAAATTTTGTACAGCTTACACAACTTCATTAAGTGCTGACAGCAGTATGAAAGGATGGGGGAGGAGTTTTCATTCTCATCCACACAATATCCACCAAAAATATAGGAGGGCGTGCAAAGTGGAGCATGCATATGGTATGAGAAGCGCAAAAATTTTTTCAAGACACAAGGAGAAACCGATTTGTGGAATGCAAACTACAACAGTACGGGCAGAGCTAATCAAAAACTATGGAATAACCTGTGTGACGTCCACGTATATCACTGTTAGCACATGGACAACTTAAACCTCGCTTACTCCGCAAAAAGCGAAAATAGGTTTCTTCGCGATAGCGTTAAACAATTAAGATAAAAAACGGTGTCCTTAAACTTCTACCACATCTATGTCGTTACTTAAGATAAAGAGCCCAAAACACGTTCATCGGAAGAGGAAAAATAATTTATTTTTATAATGAACGGCTTGTTCACCATGGGAGTATCTTCTCACTAACCTTTCGCACTTTCCTGTATCCATCTTTGATTTCCTGCCACGACAGAGTTGATTTTGCTTCATTGGAACGTTGGATTTGGTATTCACATATAAACGCCTCCAAGTAGTTACTTTCAGTTTTTTTAAAACATCCACGTAAAGTCGAACATCGTAAAAAGAGCAAATATGGGAACAGACCTACCCTAACCATGGAACCTATGCGTTTCCGCTCATCAATCATTGTGATTAATCGCTCGAGGGCACATAGACATGCCTTAATCAGTGAAAAGATTATAAAGATATAAAAAGAAACTGCACAGGAACTTGAGCAAATCATATTTTACAGTGAAAAAGTGTTACCATTTTGAAGACTCATACAACGATACTGGTAACCTGTGATTACTAAATGAAACTTAAGCTAACCTCTCTTGCTTGAAGATAGCAGAAATTAATAACTTTGAGAAACATAATCCATACGGCCTTGTCTAGCAAAAGCTGATCCTTCACAATTGCTCCCCTAGGAAAAATAAACGTAGGCACACTGGACAAAATGAAAAATGGTCAAAAGTATGAATAATAGTAATGTAGGAACAACAGTAAAAAGAAAGGTGTACCTCGAAATCAAGCACTCAATGAGATACTTAAGTGAGAATCTACGCTCCTTCACTACATCTGATAAACTATGCACAGTTTTATCAACGTCACTTCTCCGTACGGTCTAGAAGTACTTTCTCGGCCCGAAGCATATATCTTTATAAAAAATGAGACATACATCTTTAATAAAAACTTCCATTGTGGAATCTTCCGTTACTGCGTTAACATTATCATTTCCCTGATCTGCCCAACATCCGTAGGGACAATGCCTCGCGAAATAGAGTTTATCAACAAGCTGTAATGATGATTTATCCTAGAAATGTTATGTGATGTAGTGTCACTACTGCAACATGAGGAACTGTTCTTGATTGCGTGAATCTGTACTGTTTTGTATAAGCGATTCTCAAAATTAGTCAAGAGTTCAAAGAACACAAAAGAAAACGAAAAAATTGCTTTAAAGACACGTAGTAAGTATGGTGACTATTCTCCAAATGGTCTATGTTATCTGTATTCCCGCATGTTTCCTATATTAACTATGTTTACTGGGAACCATATTTATCCCTGATATGCAAAAGGACGTGACGGACGTTGCTACGTGACGTTGCTCAGAAATAAATGGGCGTTCTAAAACATTTATTGTTTCAATGTACTTTTTAACAATAAAATATTCTTTGTACCTTGCAATACAGTATATCACTAGAAAAATGATTTTAAGCTCTTTTTAACTTTTTTGTATCTTGTCAAAAATTAAATTTTTTCAAACCAATTTTGAGCTTTGCAATTTTAGATACCGAAAATGAATTTTCGTCAAATGTTGTCTTATGAATACGAACTCGGTAGTAGTGCAGCAGAGACGGCTCGAAACATTAATGAAGTTTGGGGTGATGGTTGCGTTGGCGAATCAGTTGTGCGATGATCAATCCCTGAGGGATGTACCATTCATTCTGCTTCATTAAACATCGCATGGAGGTGATTGAATGCATATCTGGCCTTTACAATGACTCGCGGTGGCTACCGATGTACCGAGTCAGTGCTCTATCCCACTAGACAAGTCTGGTAGCAATTTGCTAACTCCGGAGGCATGGAAGGCTTGGTGGGCCATGGACGCGCGGATCGATTCCACATGTGTGCTGCAGGGCCCCTCCGACCACTTTGCCACACGCGCCCCTGTGACACATAGCCTCCATAATGGCCACTTCAGCCGCTTTTACTTAGCCCCACAACATCTCGTTGTTTTTCCGTTCGGTTTTTTGCTATGTTTTGAAAAAAACTTCTGCGCTTCCGCTATCCTATCCATGTTCTTGTGCACATCCTCTCATCTTTCTGGTCCATATGCAACTCATGGGTATGAAAAAAAAAACACTCGTCCACCACAATATCATTATCGTATTGTTTTCAGCATTTATTAAGTTGTATAAGTTCCGCAAGAAATATCACGACGTCTACCTTGTGGTTTTGATATCCTCTAATTTCATGCAACTCCCACAAGTCATCAGAGCGACCAAAAATTAGAAAACAATGAAGGGTTTGTCAGAAAATATTATAACACTACAAACTGAAAGCGTTGCTAGTTTTTCGAGGCAGAAGCATTTCTATGCTTTTTCAATGGCCACGCTCTCTTTGCCCCACATCCTCCTCAACAGCAGTAGTCTCTCGCTGCGAAATGAGAAATTAGTGAGAAACCATTAATAAGATATCCTACCATGGAAGACCTCGGATCTCCCTCATACGAGGAATCTCGAGCTGGCTAGTCGCGAGGCTACGAGGCGCGTCCCCAGGTGGTGGATAGGGGGTTAATCGCGGTCCAAAAGCGACCTTTGCTTCCCTGAGACGTAGGTGGATCCAGAGGATGGACTCCCTGTTTCTACTGCTCTAATTTGGTACATACTTTCTGTATTTGCTAGGCGTATTCATGCATGCGTGTGTGGGTGCGTTCCTGCTAATACGGATTATATTCTATGAGTCAATTCGGCCAAAAGCCTGCAATCAAGTAACTGGGAAGTATACGGGAGGCGGTTAGGAGTCGCCTTCAACAAATAAGCACCATGTCCACTATGGGAGAGTCTGGTTAGCTAGCCGTGAGTATACTCAGCCTCCATGTTCAGAGCCCAGCAGGCTACACGTGGGTATCAAAAAAGATAAAACCAGTAAAAGAAATGGCCCTTATTCCCCTGACCTCGAAAGAGCTCCCAATTCGGCAGCGTTGAGTAGAACGAGTACGGACAGGCTGCTAAAATCTCAGAGCCAATGGAAGCTGCCTGGATTTCAAAGAACAACGGTGACGATCTGTACCTATAATGCATGCACTCTTGCATCCAAATCCTCGATAGAAGACCTGCTCATGCAAGCAAAAAGGGTAAAGTACGACGTCATCGACCTGGCCGAGACGAGAAGACGTCAGCCTTTCAACGCCGTCTATGACACCGGAGAAGAACTGTTCCTCGGAACATGCGACGGTAGAAGAGACGGCGGTGTCGACGTTCTCGTCAACACGAGTTTGTCCAAGAACATCGATTCATTCGAACAACTTACAACCCGAATCGGACGTTTACGGTTAAAAAAACGTGGATCAATTCCGGTTTTGACAATCTTCGTCGTTTACGCGCCGACATCAAACTATGACGAAAAAGAAGTCGAAGCGTTCTATATGGACTTGGAGAAGTTCTACAGAGAAGACCACACATTTTTCAAGGTTATCACTGGAGATTTTAACGCCAAGATTGGACCAAGAAGAACGTCTGAAGAGCGTCACATTGGAACCCACGGATTAGAATGAAACGAACAGGATGAGCGGCTGTCTGAGTTTATCACGGTGACCATGACAATCCATGGTAACTCGCAATTCCAGAAAATTCCCGAAGCCCCACCCTCAGTGCTGGACGTGGAAGTCTCCCAAACGAGAGTACCATCACGAAATAGACCTTACCATAGTAAATAGAAGATGTTGCCTAACCGATGTCGCTATTGTCCCAAAATTCTACACGGGATCAGACCATCGTCTCCTTCGTGCAAGATTCCATTTCTCGCGGAAAGGAGAAAAAGCCGGTAAATTCCAAAACCGAAGTCCCAGATCAACCGCAAATTGAGACTTATTCAATTCATTAGTCGGCAGTTGGGAAGATGCCGCTGTCGATAACATCGACCAAGAATACGATCGGCTCATTCAACATCACGTTAGCGCTATTAAAGCTGAGAGTTCGAAAGTCACCAAGAGACATATGTCTCCAGAAACACTCGAGCTGATACGCCAGCGTGGAATCGGACAAGTTGGAGGCAACCACGAACTAACATCCGAACTTGCAAAACAATGCAGACAGGCGATAAAAGAAGATCTTAAAGAGAGAAGAGCAGCAGTAATGGTCGAAGCTGCAGAGGCTGGGAAAAGCATTCGCAAAGCCCACCGATGCTTCACCAATTACAAGGCCAAGATGGTTGCGCTCCGACGCCCAGACGGAACAGTTACAGCGTCCATAAAGGCAATGGAGAAAATCGTTCACGAATATCACTCATATCTCTTCGATAGTCACGTCCACCTTCCGTCATAAGAAATAAAGAAAGATGGATATGTTGTACTAACGGTTCTCCTTTCCGAAATCCGGAATGCCATTTCGTCGGTGGAAAACCGTACAGCGCCAGGCCCGGACAGGATAGGATCTGAACACCTAAAGAACCTTCCGCCAGTTCTCGTAAACACACTGGCTCGGCTCTTCACACGTTATCTGTCTGAATCCAAGGTCCCTACCCAGTGGAAGAGCAGCAAGACCGTGCTATGGCCCACGAAGGGTGACTTCCACGTTATCGCCAACTATCGCTCAATCTCCTTGCTGTCTGTCGTCAACAAACTTTTCAATCGTGTCAAGCTAAGCAGAATTGGTAGAATACTGGACGAAAGGCAGCCATATGAGTACATATGAGGCAGCCAGTACATAAAGATTCTTCGTGAGCTGTGCAGAAGTTTCACAACCAAGATGTCACCATTCTACAACGATATTAACATCGACGTCAAAAGAGGAGTTAGGCAAGGCGACACCATCTCGCCAAAGTTATTTACCGGCACCTTCGAAATCGTCATGTGAACACTGGAATGGGGTAATATGGGAGTGGGAATCGATGGTTGGCAATTACACCAGGCTTTGCTGATGAGATCGTCCTTATAACACCAAACATCACCCAAGCGAAACGAATGCTGGTCGACTTTGATAAAGTTTGTGAAAAGATTGATCTTGACTGAATCTCACAAAAGGGATGTTCATGAGAAACGAATTGGTTTCGTATGCCCCATTCACGATCAGTGGAGCGAAGTCTCCAAGTGGTCCGGATATGTCTGTCTATGTCGGGAAATCAATATGATGAACGACTTAGCTCCAGAGCTGAATAGAAGGAAACGAGTTGCTTGAAAAGCTTTCAAGAGCATCGAAGAAGTAGTGAGAAGAGCAAAGAACAACCGACTCCGTGCCCACCTTTTCGACTCAACGGTACTTCCTGCCCTAACGTATGCGTCAGAAACCTGGTCGCTGCGTAAGCAGGATGAACGGTCACTCAGCGTTATCGAACGCGCAGTCGAGATGGCGATGTTAGGAGTATGCCATTCCGTACAAGTAAAGGATAAGATCCGAGGCTCCGATCTGCGTCAACGATCAAAAGTCAAAGATGCCGTTCTGTACGCCGAACAGTCGAAGATAAGGTAGGCTGGATACGTAATGCGTATGAATGACAGCTGGTGGACCAGAGCCGTTAGTGACTGGATTCCTCGAGATGCCAAACGCACTGCAGGAATACCACCTACCCGATGATCAGAGTTCTTCACGAAAAGCCTAGAAGAAAGATATGATGCTCAACGAGTCCCTAGAGCGAGCAGGCCCCACTTGGTTACTCTTGCACGCGAGAGGGAAAAATGGAAGATTTACTGGCGCCTGCTGGAGTCACTCGACAATTAACGGGACTACAGGTGATGCAGGTGATACCATGGAACACGCTCGCCTCTGCATCTGCATTGGACAAGCTAACGATTGTTCATAGAAAGCATAGAAACAAACTTCTGGGCACCAAAATAAGTCATCGGAAAGAAAATAACATGTATAGGTGTCTTACCGCCCACTCCCGCAAAACCATAATGAAATCAATAGGTGCTGTTCGGACCGAGAGTGTTAAGAGAGGGATTTTTATTTGTTTTGAAAACATCAGCTCTGTTGTATAAAG